CGTCACACCTCTGTGAGGATCCTACACGCCATCGCTGCAACTAAGCACCTACCACTGCAGCAGATCGACGTCAAAAACGCGTTCCTTTATGCGTTGGTCGACGTAACCATCTTCGTGAAGCAACCTCATACCTATGGGGAAGGAGATCCCAGGGTCTGCCAGCTAAAGAAATCTCTCTACGGCATAAAACAAGCGCCGCGTCTCTGGCAGCAGCATCTGCATAAGATACTCCTGGAAATTGGCTTCAGGCAGTTGCCGCACGACCCGGGAATGTACCGCCTTCACTTCAACGGTGATTACATCCTCCTGACAGTCTACATCGACGATCTGCTGTACATTGGCACCTGCAACAAGCTCATGGACCAGTTCGAAGCAAACATTGCGCAACCCGTTGACATTACCATCAACCACAAGGTCACACAGTTTCTGGGGCTGGACATCACGTACGCGCCAGAAGCCATTCATCTGCCAGCCTCTAAGTACGCAGAGCGGCTGGGGGAACACTTCAAATCTCACCCACACCACTCTGAACTCCTTATCGCACTCCCGGCGCCAACTACAAACCGGACAACAAACCTTTGTCACCCGTAGGACTACAACTCTACCAGCAGCAACTAAGGTGCCTGTTGTTCACCTCCGTCACCTGCCGACCCGACCTTTCGTACATCGCCAGCCAACTGGCTGCAAGCCAGTAGCAGAGAACCACCTGGACCTGGAGCGCGCCCTAAAATACTTCATATCCACACCTGACATCGGGCTCTCCTACTCTACACTAATAGCAACATCATTCAACCTCAACGGTTACGTGGACGCAGATCATGCTGCTGACCCCGCCAATCGACGGTCGCGAACCGGCTTCGCCTTTCGCCTTGAGCCAACAGGACCGATCTCCTGGAACTCGCTGAAGCAAGAACTTGTTGCCCTGCCATCGGCTGAAGTAGAGTACATCGCCGCAAAGGCAGCAGTTCGCTATGGTTTTTGCCTACAAGAGCTGCTGCAGGAGACGAAAAACTCAACCTCGCCCACCTTTCGCCTCCACTGTGATAACCAGAGCACCATCAAGATCCCGAACAAGCTAGGGTTCGTCAACGGCACGAAGCATATCGCACTTCGATATTTTTCCGCCAAGGACGGAATTGACCAGGGCAAGGTTTACCTCACGTGCTGCTCCACCACCGAGATGGCAGCTGATTTTGTCACCAAGCGACTGCCACGTCAGCAGTACCAGCACTGCTCCAACCTTACCAGAGTAGTCAAGCGAGTCATGTCAGAATGTTATCTTATGCTCTAGCCTGTAGTGGGGTGCTCTATAGCGAGTACAACCCTTCTAGGGTTTGCTATTTGTATCCCCATTTCTGCTAGTTCACTCCTCTTTCTTTCTTCAAACTTTGTCATGCTATCAGAGCAGGTCGATCCCCTTGGATCGATCCTGTGGGTGGGTTACCACCTCGCTTCCGCTGCTACTTTTTCCTCCCGCCGTGCGCCCCGAGGCGCGCGGCGGTTTTCTGCCCGCCGTGCGCCCCGAGGCGCGCGGCGGTTCTCTGCCCGCTGTGCGCCCCGAGGCGCGCGGCGGGCGTCTGCCTCGCGGCGTTCGCCGCGTCCCGCTCTGGAGGCGTCGCGACGGGCGACGGGGACCCGTCGCGGCCCCGCCGCCCTACTCCGGTCGCGGCCCCGCCACCTCCGGTCGCGGCCCTGCCGCCTCGCGTCGCGGCCCAGCCGCCTTCGGTCGCGGCCCCGCCCACTCCGGTCGCGGCCCCGCCAACTCCGGTCGCGACCCCGCCAATTCCGGTCGCGGCCCCGCCAACTCCGGTCGTGGCCCCGCCACCGACCCGTCTCGGCCCCGCCACCGACCCGTCGCGGCCCCGCCGCCACACTTCGTGGCCCCGCCGCCCCACTTCGCGGCCCCCCCCCCCCCCCCCCCCCCCCCCTCCTCCCCCCCCCCATTTCCCGTCGTCTGTCGTGGCGACCTGAGGGGCGAGCTGTGGGGTGGCGGGTATGGGGGTGGCCGGTGTGCTTTCCTCCCTTTGCTCCTCCTCCTCCTTCGTCTCCCACTGCTGCAGCTGTCGCTGAGGGGGGTGGTTGTGTGGGAGACTGGGGTTTAGGGTTTAAGGGGGGTGCGTGGGAGTGGAGCTAGCGGTGTAGCAGCGGGTGTGTATCAGGGGGGTGGGACTGTGTGCGGGAGGATGAGCGGAGGTTGCCAGTTTGTCGTCAGCAGCACCTGTAGTCCGGGGCGCTGTCCCGGTAGCCCAGTGAGCTAGACTTCTACGCCAGCCGCCCATGGGTCCGTTGCCCGTCTGCCGCTACTTGAGCCGCGGGGCCTGTTACTCCTGTAGTTCGGGCGCTGTCCGGTAGCCGCTGTGCCAGTCTGCCTCCTGTTGCCCGTGTGTCTGCAGCTTCAGCCGTCGCCTCCAATCTCCTCTCCCCTCACTCTCTCTCCTCCTCGTCACTTGCCCGTTGTGACTACCACTAGCTTTGCTCATAATTATGAACTCTAAACTATTGCTTCTTAAACTTGTGCTCAGAATGTGTGGTGACATTGTGATCCACCCTGAGCTTGTACTGCTTTGCCTGCTCTGCTGATTACACCCCACTTTGGCTATGGGGGTGTGTCAGAATGTTATCTTATGCTCTAGCCTGTAGTGGGGTGCTCTATAGCGAGTACAACCCTTCTAGGGTTTGCTATTTGTATCCCCATTTCTGCTAGTTCACTCCTCTTTCTTTCTTCTAATTTTGTCAAGTCAGCCCTCTGCGGGACCAGGAATGAAGGGGAGTGTTACGATATGAAAATTGAGTAAGGCATCCTTGTATGCTGTAGCAGCCGACTCTACCGAGTATGAAGTCGAGGAGTCAGAAAAGTCGAAGCGATGGCAGCAATCGTCAGATCAAGACCGATGCAGGCAGGTACATTTGAACTGGAAAGAGCGGGAACAGGTTTGAAACGGGTTCCCCGCGCCGCACGGTTGAAATTTACTGTAAGAAGGGAATGTACCCCTTAGATTACATGGCTAGGCTAGGTCTTGTCGTATTCCCTGTACTATATATACAAACACTATGCATGCATGCTTTTTATTGTCTCAATATACATTCACTCTGACCTGAGGTCAATACTTCCGCTGCAACAACTCCAACTGCGATCAACCCTGAGACGATCCTTCGCTGAGTCCTCTTTAGGATTGTAATACAATGACTGATTTTTTACTGCTTCGTAAAAAAATTCCTACCGTATTTTTGCTTTAAGGCGCCATTATCCCGCCAAGTGCAATTTGTCCATCTTAGTCCTTCTTTTTCAGGTCAATACTTTCGTTGACATGTTTATCTCCTGTCCATGCGACCCATTGTATAAACTATGTAGGAAGGGATCCTAGCGGGTAGTACCATGCTTGTCCCACCACAAGCCTCTGGAACTCAGGTCTGGTGTTTCTGCTCTGAGCTGGCGCATGACCACTGAATCTGGGTGAAAGTGTTGGCACGCATTTCCCCACCGACCGTGCGCCTATCACGAATTGATTTTGCGAAGACTCTTGTTGTCGCCACATACGGAAATATGCCAGTTGAGGCTGCACGCAGACGGCGGGGATGAAAGTGATAGTCTTTCGCGCCGTAAATCCATTGATGGCTCGGGGTGAAATCACGCGCTTCGACGGGAACATGGAATCTGAATGCCCAGCTCTGGGCTGAAAATCACGTCATCTTGGGCGCTCAAGCAATCCACACCGTAGATGTGCAAAGCCCATCTCGCGTCTTTCGTGAGCAATGCGAATCGACCGTTGCACTCATCCGTCTTCCGCTGCATTTATCGTAACGCATCCCATGTCATCTCTCTAAAACCCTCGAACTCGTAGATAACCGCAACGTCAACCCAAAGCAAACTCAACTCGAAGGATCTGCTTGCGGCGTGCCGTACAAATTGTATTGAGCCTATGAATGTTACATCGGGTTGGGATGCGTCTCGGATCCGCTGCACTCGTACTCTCCAACACCTGACCGACACCCAGTCTATTCCAGTCTACTGGCAAATCTCATACCTTGCACATTCCAAGAGTTCCGTTCAATTCCACCCGCCCTTCCTCCCTTCCTCTCTTCTCTTCTGCCGACCGTGTCTAAAGTCTCCATCTCCGTCCCCGTCATTCGTCACTCGGCCCCTGCCTTCTGCGGGGCACTCCATTCACAACACAACAGTAACTTAGCATACTGACAGCTAGCCACGATATATCATATTCAGCGGGTTCTTATTTTCCATAGTAATTATTTTCCTATAGCCACGCCAGGTCAAACAAGTATCCTCCAACGCCCCGGTGAGCATGCTCGGATTCGTAAGAACTCGATCGCTCACCGAAGTAGCTCGGAAGCACGCGTCCATATATCGACAGCAGTAATTGCTCGACTTTCTGGGTACCTGACAAGAATACCGTTGCGCTCCTCGTTTTTCACCTCCCTTTCCTCCCCTCTCCCCTCTCCCCCTCCCCACCCCCCTCTCCCTTCCCCCCTCCGACCCCACCCACTCCCCTCTTCCCCCCATTCCCCCCTTTCCCCGCTCGATCCCACGCGCGCCTCGTTAGAATCTGAACTCTGTCGGCCCCAAGCGGATTCTTTAGAGCCTCGTGGCCTTAGAACGAGCTGAGCGGTGGGATTGTGGTCACCGGAGCAGTGCGGTCACACCGATATTGCCGCGCAGTGGCAGTCACCATCCCTGACAGCACTATGACCCCACTCGCCGGGCCTAGATCTCGCCAATCAAGCGAGGTCTGCCCAGCGAGTTAACCCTCAAACATCCGCAAATCGCTCAGCCATCCACAGGCAACCTTTCAATCGCTATTTAGGTCGCGATAACGTACAGGTAGCAGGAATATTTTTCTTACGCCACGGGGAAGCCCCACAGGCAATTGCATAAAAGGTTCGCGAGTCCCTCGGGTACAGACTTGATCGAGGACGTCGTGACCGTGGATTGCGGGGGATACTCAGCATGACGAGGAGATCGCGGGTTTCGAGGGCTGGGGGCGATGCTGTCTGCCGTTTGTCGCGGCGGCCTTCGCGCCGTACGCGCCCGCCCGCGTTTCTCGCCGTTCTCATAACCATCGTCGCGATCGCAAGCAGCACCGCGCTTGGCGTGCAAGGTGCGTCATATTTATTAAGAAGCAAAGAAAAGGGTGTGGCGTGTTTTGAGGTGCCTCAAAAGTCGTTTCTCGCCGTGAATACAGCACCGCGCTAAAAATAAAATTACAAACAAACAAATCGTGTGCGATATGATTTTTGAGGCGCTTCAGAAAATTAGCGCCGTGCGTTTTTGCGCAAGGTAAAGCCGTTGTGAGGAGGCCGAAGCAGGGTGCCGCGGGGCGCGATTCGTGAGGCGCGCCTGTTCAAATACCGAGGTGGCTGTAAACGGGATGCGCAAGGGACACGCGCACGCGCGTAAAACAGTTGTTCCCTGAGTGGGCCGCTGGAGACGCTGCTCCTGCAACGCACTCACGCTCGCACGCACGCACGCACGTACACACGGATCAGAGCATGATCCGCGTTACCGTGTCGTGGCTCTTCTCTTCTTTCACTCTTTGGTCTTCTCTTGCGTCTCTCCGTCTTCCTCCCGTCTCCGTCTCACCAGAATCGTGAATCCTAATAAACCCCTGTTTCCCTCTTTTTCTCTCCTCCCATTCGTCCCACACCCTCTTGCCTCGCTGCTCCCCCGATCCACCCCCCCGCTTCCTCCGCTTCCTCCCCGCTTCTACTCCCTTCCGCAAGCAGCCTCCAAGAAGCGCAGAGCCCCCTTCCCGCCCCCCCAGTCCATTCCGCAAGCCGACGTCGACCGCCTCTTGCAATGGCTCTCCGCGCCCCCCATGGGCAGCAGCGCCGCTTCCGCCTCCGCCAACTCCGCTAATTCCGCCTATGTCGCCGGTTCCGCGGGTTCCGCCGCCGGTTTCAGCACGCTGACAAGTTTAAACGGGAATCTGGGGAGTGGGAGTAGCGGGGATGATAATATCGAGGATTTCGAGAAGGAGGAGGATGAGGAGATACGGAGATCGTGGATGGAGTGGCCAGGATCGCAACCCAGCAAGAACAACGTCAGCAGTGCCACGTCAGCTGCCGACATAAGGAGACAGCTACTAGGTAGGGAAAGACCAGGTGTAAAAACAAAAATATTCCTTCAAATCATAGACTTCATGAGCTACCGCTACCCGGAAGTCCCCCTCCTCTTCTCTCGTCCCTTGCCTTCCTGTTTTGATGATCCCTCTCCCCTCTCCCGCTTTTCCTCCGGGCCTCTCCCCTGTTTCCCCTCCCCCCTCCTTCCTGCTCCCCCCCGCGCGTCCTCGTCCCCCCTGCGCGCGCGCGCAGGCACGTCGTGCGACTACCGGCAAGGCAAGTGGGCGTACGTGAAGGGGTATAAGCCCGCGTATAGCGGCGACTGCAAGTACATCCGCTCGGGCTTTAACTGCCAGCGCAACGGGCGCAAGAACATGAACTTTATGAGCTATCGCTGGAAGCCCGCCAGCTGCGCACTCCCGCGCTTCTCGGCCACCACGTTTCTGTCGCTGCTGAAAAACAAGGTGCGGTTGGGTCAGGGTCGTTACCCTGTGCAGGTATAGTCACTGCCATGGAAGGACATAGCCTCTCCCAGGTGAAATTAGTTGGTTCTCCGTCACCCTCCCCTTGCATTCCTCCCCCTCGTTCCACTCATTTTCCCCACCCTTCCAGGTCGCTTCCTTCCCCCCCCTTCTCCCCACCCACTCCTCCCTCTCCCTCTCCCCAAATCCTCCCAACTCCTCCTCCCCTTCCCAAACCCCCCTGCGCAGACCATAGCGTTCATAGGCGACTCGATCTCGCGCAACTTCCACCTGTCTGTTTCCGAGGCCCTCAAAGTCTTCCCCTTCCCCTTCCGCCCTTACCCCCCCCCCCCCCCCCCTCCCGCCCCCCGCAGATCATCGCGTTCATAGGCGACTCGATCTCGCGCAACTTCCAGCAGTCCATCTCGTGCCTGATCGCAGCGCAAGTCGCGGTGGAGGACTGGACGGGCCACCTGGGCCCGGACTCGGTGATCGGGCTTAAGATCCCCTCGCACAACGTGCGCATCCTCGCCTTCATGACGCCCTTCCTCGTGCGCTACACCAACGAGCCCTGGGCCTTCGAGCTCTACGGGCTCAAACCCCCTACAAATCAGCTGATCAAGGGCGGGAATGGCGCCGGGCAGTCGTATGTGATCTGGACGGACGTTCTGGATTCGGCGTGGACGGTGCTGTTTCGGCAGCTGGATGTGGTGGTGTTCATGTCGGGGCATTGGTTTCTCCAGGCGCAGGGGAACACGGATGTGCGCGCGCTGCAGTTTGTGACGAACAACAAGCCCGTGAATCTCAACGGCCAGGATGCGTACCGCGCTGTCATCAACAGGGTGAGTTTTGGTGGTGGCTCTAGCACTGGCGGTTTTTGAGGCACCTCTGAAGTCGCTGCTGTTTGTGACGAACAACAAGCCAGTGAATCTCAACGGCCATGACGCATACCGGGCTGTCATCAACAAGGCGAGTTCCGTGCTCCTAGTGCTGCTGGTGGTGCTCGTGGGTTGATGCTGGTGGTTTGGTGCTGCTGCTGCTGCTGTTGCTGCTCTGTCTCCTTCTGTTGCTCGGGCGTTGTTGCTCTCGCTGATTCCCAACCCATACTGAATCCCTCTCTGTCCACTCTGTCCGCCCCCTTTGGTCCTCTCACCTCATCCCTCTTCCCCCTCTCCACCCGCCCTTCCCCTTGCATCAGATGAAGAAGTTTCTGGGAGTAGAAGCCAAATTCAAGGGCATTCCCACATGGCTCACGTACAGCCCGTCCCACTACCGCTCCTCCACCGATACATTCAGTCCACTCAAATATCCCTCCCATCCCTTTCCCTCCCGCTCCCTTCCCCTCCATTTCATCAGGTGAACAAATTTCTGAATGTAGAAGCAAACTTCAAGGGCATTCCCATGTGGCTCACCTACAGTCCGTCCCACTACCACTCCTCCACTCAATTCTACGTCGACTTAAATGTACCCCCATCCCTTCCCCTCTCGCTCCCTCCACACACCCCATGCATCAGGTGAAGAAGTTTCTGAATGTAGAGGCAAAGTTCAAGGGTATACCCATGTGGCTCACCTACAGTCCGTCCCACTACCGCTCCTCCACCTACCCCCCTTCCTGCCCGGACTCCAAGCCACTCTCTTCCGTCTCCCTAGACCAAGCAGCCACCCAATTCCGCAGCATAGAGCTGGAAATGCTTCAAAAGACGCGGTTCAGCGTGCTCGACTTGACGTCCATGTCGGGGTATAGGCCGGACGGGCACGTGCAGATGTACTATGGGCCGGTGAAGAACAGTAAGACCAAGTGGGACTGCTTGCACTGGTGCCTGCCAGGTGTTCCGGACGCTTGGAGCGATGTGCTGCAGCTGGTGCTGCAGTCACGGCTGAAGTGAGAATTTGTGGAGGGGGGATGGGCACGTGCCGGTGAAGAACAGTAAGACCAAGTGGGACTGCCTGCACTGGTGCCTGCCGGGCGTTCCGGACCGGACGCTTGGAGCAATGTGCTGCAGCTGGTGCTGCAGTCACGGCTGCAGTGAGGATGGTTGAATGGGGACGGGAGATGAGGAGGTGGGGAGATATGAGGAGATGAGGAGATGTTGAGGAGAGTATGAGGGGAATATCGGGAGGTACGAGGTGGGATTGTCTGTGTGTGGTGTGGAGAGACAACTCGGGCAGCCATGTCAAAATCAAGCAACGACATTTGGAGCTGGGGAAAGGGTGTTCCTATGAGAACTGATTGGGGCGGAGGGGTGGGATGACAGGTGATTGATCAGCTGCTGACGGTTGGTGGTAACGCTTGTGGTGCACAGCGGATGGATGGGTGATGAAGCGAAGCTGGAAAGGTGACAGGGGATCAGCTGATGTTGGCAAATACAGAACTGTTGGTGCGTTGATCGCATATATTTTGAAGCGTAAACTATATGGCGAGCATTATTAATGCATCATGCCGTGGCCCTAAAAGGGATTTTGGTTTGTACGCCCTCGGGAGAGATCCACTCCACGCGTGTGAAAGCCTTGTTATGCCTAGCTAAGGGGACATGCCCAGACAAGCACGGGCTCAAGCAAGGAGCATGGAGGCGAGGATAGATGCACCTGTTATCGAAATAATTTTGAATCCATCATTGGAACTAAACGATGATGCTAGGGTGGTATGTGTAGCTTTAGTAAAAGGATCGTATCATGTAACATTATTACTATTATAGGTATTTTTTAAATTTTGATGTTTGTTGTAAGGATTTTTTCCGAATTCCTTATCGGGGTTGACTGCTACGCGTACAGCTCGATTTTCGGACTTTGCACGTTCAGCCGATTTCAACGCTGCCGAGGCTCCTCGCGTCGCCTTCGGCATTTCCCATCGCCAAACCTGCACCCCAACCTCGCTCATCCGAGGTTTCCTCCTAGCTAGGCCAACCCCTACATTAGTCTGTGCCTTCATTGTATTCTCATATCAGTTAATCACGGTCTCGTTATTCGTTTACCTGCGCACTCTCTTTTACAATTCATAACATTCGTATGTTTGTACCTTCGAGTGGAGTATGTCCACTGGATAAAGGATGGTTCTTGTTGGCGAATCGTGATAGTTAGGATATTTGTTTGCGTCACACCACCATCCACAAACCGGATAACCACACAAGAAAGTGATAAACCTCTGCTAACTGGTCCCCCAAAGAGCACTGTCGATTTTGCTTTTTTGAGGATTGAACACAACATACAATGCATCCATCCACGGTCGTAACTGTTGGGCTGAGAAAAGCCCTTGCAAGGCTAAACTCTGGGTAGGACATGTTGTAAATGCGGAAGCGTATAATGATAAGTCTTTGAACCACCTTGCTCTGGTATGTGAGGGCAAAGTAGATAAATTAATCAAAGAGATACAAGGCTTTTATAAGAGTACAATGAATATGAAGAGATACAACTGATAACTGTTTTACTTTGCTGTTGCGGTTCGATACAGTGACGACTCGGGCAACTACTCAATAACGATTCAGCTGTTTGTCCTTGCTGTCGTGCTGTACTTGTCAGGTCAAAGGTCGCTGACCTTTGACTTTCGCGTAACCTCCAGCGGTTTCTTCACTTCTCAACCTCCGAGTGTTGACTCGCCGATGCTTCACTGTATTTCGCTTCATTTACGACTTAGTGCTTCGACACGACAGAGGCGCTTACATCACTTGTTTCCAACACTCCCCTTCGCTTCTGTGTCGCTGCTGGTGACGTGGCTTCGTCCAGTCAGCAGCATGCAGTACTTGAACTTCTGTTTTCCGAGTTTCTTGGTCAAGTAATCAGCTGCCATCTCAGACCTGGGACAGTATGACAACGCGAGTCTCCCCTTCTCGATTTCGTCCTTTACGAAGAAATATCGTAGTGCGATGTGTTTTGTCCTGTTCGCGAATCCGCTCTTGTTCGCTATGCGGATTGCTGACTGATTATCGCAGAACAGGGAGAAGTTGGGTAACTGGGCCAGCTTCGCCTCCTCCATCAGTTCGCGAAGGTACAGTCCTTCTTTGGTGGCTGAGCAGAGTGCGATATATTCTGCTTCAGCCGATGAGAGGGCGATTAGCTCCTGCTTGCTCGACTGCCATGAGATGGGTCCGATAGGTTCGAGTCGGTAGACGTAGCCGGTGCGTGAGCGCCTGTTGTCAGAGTCTCCAGCGTGATCGGCGTCGACGTAGCCGATTAACTTAGGCGTAGTAGTTCCGTTCTTGTGGTAGGTTAGGCCGATTGTGAGAGGACGTCCCCGTTATAATATTTTCTCACTATTCTATTTTTCCGTTATCCTATTCTCCCTTTTCTCCTCTTTATTTTGGTCTTTATCTCATCTCAATCGGCCTACTACCGTATTCTATTTTCTAGAGCCTTCTATTTATTTCTCTTATTTCCTACTTTTCCCACCGACATACCTATTATACGGCACCGACAGCGCCGACAGTGGTGTATACGGTGTAATCTGGGCGTAATCCCAAGTGCCAATAGACTTGCGTGCTTATGCGCACTTGTGATTGTAGTATCGGGAAGGGTGTGTTCCCGAAGGTTCGCTTTATCTCGTTTATCCTTGTACTTTCCGAGTATAAAAAGGCCTTGTATTCAGTTTTAGTGACAAGTTTCGATTGAGAATTCAATTCTGTGACACTTGGTAATCAGAGCCGTTCTCACTCGACAACTCTCGGCTAAGCAGCGGTCGCGGAAAAAATCGCCTCGAAAAACCGCCGGGGGCGACCAATTCGACGCCGATTTCTGGTAAGTACCAGTTCCGCGCTTTTCGAATTAACCCCCTTGCGTGGTTTTTGAACAGGATGGGTTCGCCGGCGACCAACGACGTTACGCAGCAGCTCTTCGCGCAAATCGCCAAGATGGAAGCGGAGATGCGAGCGACGACTGAACAGTCGCGATTGGAGAACGAGCAGATGCGAAACAAACTGCAGCGCGTTACGCGGCTCCTCTCGACCATGAACATTCCTGCTTCGACGACTTCGCAGCAGTCGCAGCGTCAGTTCGAGGTTCCGAAACTTCGCTCGCCGGAATCGTTCGACCCTAGCGATCGAAAATCCGACGTCAGGCGGTGGCTCGCGACGATGGAAATTTATTTCGCGGCGATCGGATGGACGACAACGGAGTACGACGGCGAGAAAATTCGTCTCGCGACAACGTTGATGCGCGGTCCAGCTCTCTGTCAGAGTATTATAGCTGATGCATGTTTGTAGGCTATAGTGGGGTAGCACATATGGGGTACAGCTCTCTAGGGTTGTATTTGTACCCAACTCTCACTTAGTCATTTCATTCCTGTTTTCCTTGCTTCACATGGTATAGAGCGGGTCCTGCCTTAGGACCGTTTTTTTTTAGGGCCCACCGAAGCGCGCCCCGAGGCGCGCCCTTTTTTTTTTTAGCGACCCCTCGGGTCGCCTTTTCCCTCGCGGCCCCGCTGTCCCTCAGACGCGGCCCCGCCACCTCTCCTGATCGCGGCCCCGCCGCCTGCTTGACGCGGCCCCGCCGCCTCCCCTGACGCGGCCCCGCCGCCTCCCCTGACGCGGCCCCGCCGCCTCCCCTGACGCGGCCCCGCCGCCTCCCCTGACGCGGCCCCGCCTCTACTGCCGCGGCCCTGCCGCCGCCTCTGACGCGGCCCTGCCGGCCCGCCGCTACACCTTACGGCCCGCCGCTGCACCCTACGGCCCGCCGCCTCACCTGACGGCCCCGCCGCTGCTCCTGCCGGCCCGCCGCTGCTCCTGCCGGCCCGACGCTGCTCCTGCCGGCCCGCCGCTGCTCCTGCCGGCTCGCCGCTGCACCTGCCGGCCCGCCGCTGCACCCAGCGGCCCGCCGCTTCACCTGACGGCCCCGCCGCTGGACCTGCCGGCCCGCCGCTGCACCCTACGGCCCGCCGCTGCACCCTACGGCCCGCCGCCTCACCTGGTCGGCCCGCCACTGCACCCTACGGCCCCGCCGCTGCACCTGCCGGCCCGCCGCTGCACCTGCCGGCCCGCCGCTGCACCTGCCGGCCCGCCGCTGCACCTGCCGGCCCGCCGCTGCACCGGTCGACCCGCCGCTGCACCTGACGGCCCCGCCCCTGCATCTCCCGGCCGAGCCGCCCCAGCAGCCGAACCGCCCGGGAGCCGAGCCGCCCACCGCCGAGCCGCCCGGGAGCCGAGCCGCCCTGCACCCAAGCCGCCCAGCCGCCGAGCCGTCCGGGAGCCGAGCCGCCCTGCGCCCCAGCCGCCCAGCCACCGAGCCGCCCGGGAGCCGAGCCGCTGTGCACCCGAGCCGCCCGGTCGCTGAGCCGCCTTTCTGCAGAGCTGCACGACCTGCCCTGCCTGGTGAGCACAGTCCCACTGACACTGCGAGCTCTTTCCCTACTGCTTGCACTGCGTCGCTGTTGTCGCCATGGCTACCCCTAGTGTCCTCGCTTTCGACGCTGAGGGTCGCGCCATTGATTTTGAGGTCTGGTTAGACGACCTGCAGCTGTTCTTACAGTGCGACAGGGCTGACGACCTTTCTCTCTTTGACCTCACCTCTGGCGCCTCTCCTGCTCCTGCTGCTGATGCTGATCCCTCTGTCCGCTCTCAGTGGGCCACCCGCGATGCTGCTGCACGTCTTGCTGTGCGTCGCCACCTCCCTACTTCTGAGCGTGCGCACTTTAGCCAGTACAAGAGTGCTCAGACCCTGTACGACGCTGTAGTTGCGCGCTACTCCTCCCCTGCCACTGCTGCACTGAGCCGTCTCATGCTTCCCTACCTCTTTCCTGACCTCTCTGCCTTTCCCACTGTTGCTGACCTCATTACGCACCTCCGCACTAGTGACACTCGCTACCGCGCCGCCCTTCCTGCTGAGTTCTGCGCTAAGAACCCCCCCCCCATGTACATCGCTCTCTACTACGTAGTCGCGCGCCTCCCTGACTCCCTTCGCG